ATTTATTTACATTTTGGCAAATTGGCACTATTAAAAGTATGCTGGATTAGCTATTAGCCGTTCATGTTTGTAATGTACTAATAGATTTACAGTACATCACTAAATGTTTTCTGGAGTTACAAAGATCTTTTTTCAATTATTTCTAAGCTAATCTTTTGGACATTATTAATGTTATCCTCAGAAGGGGTAAGCTTAAGGGAAGTTCATATTTGAGTCTGTGTTCTAGATTTGTTTCAGTGAACTTTTTTTGCAGCGGTAACAGCTTTTTGTACCTGTGTGTATGTGTTAGCATGTGTGTGTGCATGTGTGTATAAGAGGTATACAGTAGATCCATCATAGCCTGCTCATAAGGCAAAAAATTTGTGATAACATTCTGGCAGATATTAAGGCTTAGTGAAGATCACAGGAGTAAAGACATAGGAGGAGCAGTGAGAGTGAACTGATATTTTCTCAAAGACAGCAGAGGAGTAAAGAAACATCTCAACACCTGTGGGGAAAGGTCACTCTTACGCTAACAAGCTACTCTCTCCCTCTACACAGACCTCCTTTGTTCCTTAAAATCATTTTCCCCCTTCCTTCTGCTACAGGTTGTTGCAATTGTTTTGAGTTTCCAAGTTTTAAAATTCCTCGTTCTTTGGCTGCATGACACTTTCTCTGATCATTCTACTTCCTCCACGCCCTTCCTGCTCTTTCATTCCTTGTTCTCTAAACAGGAAAAAAGTGGCCTGCTTTTACCTTTTCCACAATTTCTTTTCTGTCTGAGTCACGAATGGCCAGAGGGGGGAAAAAGTCACTTTCTGGTATTGATTGGTTAAAATGTTTATTCCTACAAATGACAGAAAAATCAGTATCCCACCACTGCCTCTGTGTCCTAAAAATATTTTGACTGGCAGCGGTGCCTGGCAAACGCAGAGCGGTCATTATAGTGAAGTTTACAATTGTGTGCTTGCATGTAATGCATCAAACATTGAGTCCCTCAGGAGGAGCTCTTGGCATCAGAGTAAAATCAGTCCTGTAGTGACATTAAGAGGAGGATGTTCACTCCTATATTTTGCTCTTGACACTTATCTGTGACTGAATTTGCATTTATCTCAGTTCCCTGAACAAAAACTACCAAAAAACAACAGGAATTCAGTCAAATGAAATAATTTGTTTACTCTGGCAGTCAGGCAAAGCGTCTCATGAGGCATCAAAACTCTGGCTGTGTTCATTCAGGCCCACCAAACATTTATCCACATCTGCCCAAATTCAAGGTTTAATCATGGTGAGTTGTGATTGTGCATTAAACCGCTGCGTTGCAACAAACGGTGCTACTGGTCCTTTCAAAACACAGACATCCTGTATACAAAACCCCACCCACACACATACCCTTTTAGGTTATGTGTATGGATGCCGTATCTGATTTTTAACATTTGTTTTGAAATTCTGCCGTGGAAACCACAATGTTGAGGCAGTCTTGGAAGATGTAAAACATGGTGGAAACTACAGGATTTATCTCTCTCAGTTTTGGCCACACTTCATTTATTGTGCTTAGCCCGATTTTGTAGACTCTCCTTTAAATCGATTTTTTCCCCACTACACCGCTGCCCTGCCTGTTGGCTTTGGCATGGATATCTGGTCAGTTTATTTAACCTCAGTGTGATTGACAGCCCTTTTGTTGTGTTTGCCGCTTGTGCAGCCCAGAATGCTACATAAAAACACAATGTTAAATGTCCCATGCTCGAAACGTGTGGTTCCAGTTAAAATGTCACTTCTGATCACCTTGGTTAATTGTGAGACAGAGGTTATTGTGTGTCGTTCTCCTTAGATCTGTTGTTAAAGGCAAATAAATGGTGCTGTCAGTCACTGCCCTCCGAACTGCTCTTAAATGTTGAAAATACGAAGGGATAAAGGCTGACAGAGGAAAAATCTTTTAAACATTGTCAATGTTTTCTACATTTATGATAAACAAAAAAAAGATAGAATTTACCTCATTGACGTGCTACTTGGACGAATGGAGGAAGATTCAAACAAGCTAAATCCATTATTTGCATAGCTCTACATGTGCCATGTGTACAAGTTTCATGTGTGTGTGCGTGTTCCCGTACAAGGCCTGCTTAAATTTGAAAAATGCATCAGAAACCTACAAAGGACAGTGACTTTAGGGAGCATGGCCGCAACACCAACCAGAGTTATTGACAGACTGACCATAGCAGTG